ATTCAATGCTCACAAGTATGGATTTTTAGAGGAGCTAGCAGTGACACCAATCACCTAATAGCAGGTGACCTCACCTTGCACTATAGTGTTAGAAGCCCAGTGCAAGCATGATGATTATAGATACTACTACGAAGTGATAAGGCATGAAGTGGAAATTCAGTTGGTGAACCAGGTGTGTGTGGTTAGCTGGAGGGACTGTCTCGGAGATGAGATCAGACAGAGAACAAAGCACTCGGGTTTGTCGGCCCGTGATTCATCTTCTGGGGAGAGCACTTTGTGTCTTTAGGAGCATCACGGGAGACGGAAGGACACGCGCTTATTATGTTTAGGAGCCTTGACAGACCGAGAGTTCGGTGACGGCTAACACGTTTATTGCAAGTTAGGTTGGAGTAGGATTTCTCCACATTTTAACCACTCGCTAGTGTTCAAAGCGACTTCACCTTGGATACTGTTTCAATACTAGGTTATTTGCAGCACGTTATGCATCCAAGGTTCTTGCTTACTGATGAGGACATCTTGGCAGACCATTATTCAATTTTCTTAGAATTTACCTGTATGATTGGTCGGCCTTTTGTAGCCATGTCCTGCATGTGTCCTCCTTAAAGCCACAAAGCCAACCATGGATCAATATAAGCCATCCGACTGGCAACAATAGTGGCACTACGAGGGATGGATTATGGTCAGATCTAACTAACTCCTGCATCCAGGAATTGTCAAAGAAGCCGCAAAAGTCAAAGTAGTGACACGCAAACAGTGTTTTGACGTCACACCATAAATTAAATTATATGTTTATGGAATAAAGTCCCAACTCACCTTTTCCTTACATATCAGCATCAAATCCAGGATATCCTTTTCTCTAATTCAGTCAAGTTAAGGAAATGTGTGACGTGGGTGTATGCATACTGTAGGTCCACAGCCTTTCTCAATGGCTTCAGGTTTGCAACCTCTGCAGGGCTAGCTACTACCATGTGCTAACCCCCAGAAACACTGGGTTACCACGTGCATGTGTAAAGGGAGAGGAACATGAGACCTTTGTTGGCAATAGAAACCTTATTCAAGTGACCACACTCACTACCTGTTGACTCTGCTTGTGTAACAACCAAATCCATTACTTACGTCAACCAGCCTCAAGGCCTAACGTACAGAGCTACTTCCTTCATTTATACCTAAGCGGCTTCATTAAACCTCAGCACATTTTTTAGTCAAAATTATACATGTCGACAACGAGGTAAAAGGCAAACAAGTCAACATCCATAAGAATAACCTACAAAACAGACGCAATATTATTGTACGTAGATATGATGCACAGGGCTCACATTAAAAAAATTATGTTCTTAATAATTATGGCAATGGAGCTACAGCATATCATTAGTAGTGTTGATGATGTCCATGGCACACAAAGAAGATAATAATTGTGTCCTTGATGTGACAATGGGGCTTCAGAGTGGTCTTTCTTTAAGCCAACAACTTGGAAAAGACATCCAAGAGCAGTCATATCAAAAGAAGAGAGAGCAACCAGGGAGAGCCCACAACAATGAGTCTCTTGCAGTCACAGGCAACAGACGCACCAAACTATTGCACGGCGCACCAAACTATTGCATGCTTACGTGTACACATATCCAAGTTTTGCAACTACTGTATCCATGTGTGTGTGTGTATATACCAATGCCATACACACTTGCTTGCATGCCCATGCACAAACAAAATTAACGTCGAAACAACACACACTCCACGTGATTTCTTGGAAAGCTGTGGGAGTCCACTCTAATGGGGCCAGGGATTTGGGATGTCGTTCATTCATTCAGAGAGCTTCAAACAGGCCAGTGTTTGCTGCTCAATCACACTCTTGGATACACAACCGCTTGAGAAGAAATTTGATCAGGACAACGAGAGGGGTAACCTCTTAGTTGGCTGGCCACACGCACTTCACCAGAGGGGAAACGCTGATTTTTTTGGTAAGAGCTGGTGATTTGAGCACCTGCCAAATCTCATTCCAGACTGGGTTTGATGTGGCTAAGTACTTACACTTAACTGGAGTGCTATCTTACGTACAGTCGTACAGTCATTGTAGAGCTACGTACGTAGGAGTGTAGGTTAGTTTTCAGGGTGGACATCAAGGTCTAGCAATCATGTGCCACACCAAATATTAAGTATGCAGCTTTTTTCCTCAAATTATAAGCTAGCGAAACGATGGTTTACACAGTCCTTTGATACACTTTGATTGGGAGGGAGAGAGACACCGAGACAGCTGTCTGCCTTCTATTTTCAAGTCAGCCCTCCTGGTGCAATCCATGTATATATACACACACATGCAGTCATGGTGTAGTGCATGTGTGGGGGGTGTGCAACAAAGAATGGCACTCCATATGCACACAAAATTCTGCCATGCTGTGTAAACGCCTGCCCTCTTCAATTCACTGACAGTGTTATGAGTTGAATCAAACAGCTGCCGTACACCTGTGTGCCTGTCTATGTTTGCTCCCAGGACCATTACCTCCGCCTCTCCCCCCACCCACACTAGCTGTCTGTCTGTCTTGGTAAACATTGCAACTGAACTCTGCTGTAGCCTATGGCATCAAAAATCATTACGCATCATAATGAGGTAATGTAATTGTCCCCGTGGTGGCCTTGAAAACCAGGCAGTGAGACACAACCTTGTATAGTTTCACTGCATTACTTGATGACTGGCTCTTGTGCAGTAATAGGTTTGTAAGGGCACACTTTTACACTGAAAAATGCTGGCACTTGTGCAGTAATTAAGATACCATTCGAGTCATTACACTATGTTGTCCGTTCTTATGCAATATCACTGGTTTGTTAAGATCTCATTTCACTACGTTGTCCGTTCTTATGCAATATCACTGGTTTGTTAAGATCTCATTTCACTACGTTGTCCGTTCTTATGCAATATCACTGGTTGTTAAGATCCCATTCGAGTCATTACACTATGTTGTCCGTTCTTATGCAATATCACTGGTTTGTTAAGATCCCATTTGAGTCATTACACTATGTTGTCCGTTCTTATGCAATATCACTGGTTTGTTAAGATCTCATTTCACTACGTTGTCCGTTCTTATGCAATATCACTGGTTTGTTAAGATCCCATTTGAGTCATTACACTATGTTGTCCGTTCTTATGCAATATCACTGGTTTGTTTCGTGCTATGGCGTGTCCCACTGGGTGTGTGTGCCAATCTACAGTGGCTGATGAATTAGACACTTACAGATGGGTCCTCATTCTTAAGCCTTGTTTTTCTTTTGACTCTAGTATTAGTTGGGAACATGTACGATGCCTCCACATGTGACACATGTGCTACTACTGGTAATGAATTCTTGCTAATGTCTCCTTGCTGCTGGAGAGCTCTCTCTCACTCTGTCTTTGGGAGGGTGGCTTAATTAGTCTGGGTGTGAAGATGATTTCTCGGAATATATGGTGGCTTTTGGAGAGTGCACACCTGTGGCAGTGTGTAATGTTGTGTAATGTTGTGACTGTGCTAGAATGCATGTTGCACTGCAATTACTAACCTTCCTATGGGTCGCCCATTAGCAAACAGTTTTTATGTATGTGAAAACTATGAGGTAGAAAGGCAAAGGCACAACAAACAAATCAACTACACCTAGGACAGCTCTACATACTGTTACACGTTAAATGTGCTGAAATATAAGGTCTGATATGCTAGCAAGCATTCTTGGGCATATCTGGGAACTGAATACGAGTAGTATGGTTGGAATCACAGTATATACCACATCGCTAGTTTTGCCATAATATTAGCGGCACGCATAAAGACTCTTTATGGCAAAATCGTTCTGGTAGCAGCATTCTCTATCTCGACCTCCTGCATGAAGAAATCTGCAAAGCATTCCACGATCCATGGCCTCAGCCTACCGCAACACCGTGGATGAGCTGTAAATCAAATTAGAACTTGCATATGCCTACATGTAAAGGATCCCCCCCCAAAACAACACGCGTCTTGCAGTATTTGCTATCTCTCATTTTTACACTTTATAAATAATTATGTAGCGCATGCACTATGCATTATGCATACATACAAAGCGTCCCCTAAGCATATGGATGTGGACAACATTAGGTACGTATGTGCTGTGTGTTGAGAGTGGCTCCGGTCCAGCAAAATGCAGGGTGTGATTGTCGTACTAACCTAATAAACGTAGCTAGTAGCGATGGGAGTGTGGACTGATGGGCCTAACGATATGATGGTGTAACTGGAATAATGGGCAGACCTAATGCAGCAAGTGTACGTATATTGCGTGTTATGTACGTATTATATGACATACAGATACGTACGTATGACTAGCTCGGTTGCTCATGTGGTGTATATGTTGGGGACCGATTAAAATACCAGAGGCCCGTTTTAAAGCCGTTGCATAGATGGGCATTTAGACACAACTCGCACACCCTGTACCTCCCACATACATACATAAAACACCACACGTGCATACAACTCATTAGTGCTCATAAGGACAGGGTAAATTTGATGGGGTTGGTTTGTATTTAACTCCGAACTATACTCAAACAATTGAAGTCCATTGCAAGTAGCACTTTTCAAGCAGCCACTAAGATGTAAATTTAGGTACTCAAACAATAGTCACTGTGCATGATGCTCTTGTTCCTCCAGCCAGGTCAAACGTAGTGATGGCCGACTAAGTAGAGTCCGAGAGAAGCAGGCTGTGAGACAGCTGACCTCACTGCTGGCCCGATTGGACAGAACCTTGCCCCGGGTCACTGCTCGGGACACCAGACGAGTCCTGGGATCCCAGGAGAGACTGAAGTCACTACACGAGACAGGGAGGGAGGGGCTGTGGGAGGAGTTTGGATTCTGTCTGGACGTGTGCGAGAGTCGGCTGACCGGAGGAGGGAGGGGCGTGGCCATCTCACAGGGGAAAGTCCCCGCTGGACACCTCGTCGCACTGTATCCAGGTAAACTCATAGTTTTGTTGGAGAGAATGAAGTAAAGGGAGTGTTTAGATTATTAGTAAAGACAATACGACGGAAGACGTTTTGTTGATTTTTGACCCGTGCTGGACTAACTAGGGCTTGGTTTGCAGCAGGTAACTAGGCAACCTACCATTCAGAGGGAAATATGTAGTATTACTGCCGGCACTTTGTCCACTAATGGTCACGTCCGTCTGGCGTCGGTAAAAAAAACCATTCAAAAGAAAAAGATATAGGGTTTAAATTTTGGAATGTGCATATCTTGGCTCGTGCTAGGTCTACCGTGACAAAGATTGTGTTTGTCTCTAAAATCTATCACCAGTTTTCAGTTGCGGCAGCTATATGTATAAAGATGTGTAAGTACGACACACACCCAATGGTGTGTGTACATGTGAGAGTCCAAAGAGATTATCTCGGTCATAAAAATGCTTGCGTTGTGTCCATCGAGGGGCCTTCACAACGCGGCATGTTTTAAACACGTCACTACTGTCTTAGCACACAGGATGTCCTGCATTGGTTTGCAGTAGGTAACTAGGCAACCTACCATTCAGAGGGAAATATGTAGTATTACTGCCGGCACTTTGTCCACTAATGGTCACGTCTGTCTGGCGACGGTAAAAAAACACCATTCAAAAGAAAAGGGTATAGGGTTTATCGCAACTTCCCGTCGCTGCTGTTGTTTGTTCTAGACAACAGGCAACGAAAGCCGCTAGAAAGACCGGCGCTGACACGTATTTTTTATTCTGCATTGCCTGTTCTCGCGCACAGACTCCACCCTCAGGAGAGAAAGAACTCTTGTGCGCGATCATGCGTAATGGAAGCTTTTGCATGCGCATGCCCATTTAATCGTTTTTCGCTCATGCGCGCGAGGCGGCATGACCATTCATTCCTGTCTAGAGATATTACTCTGCATAAAGTGATCAAGGAGGGAAAACAAGGCTCGTGCTAGGTCTACCGTGACAAAGATTGTGGTTTGTCTCTAAAATCTATCACCAGTTTTCCCCCCCCCCCCCCCCCCCCCCCCCCCCCCTTCCCCCCTTTCCCCCCCCCCCCTTCCCCCCCCCCCCCCCCCCCCCCCCTCACCCCCCCCCCCCCCCCCCTTCCCCCCCCACCCCCCCCCCCCTCCCCCCCCCCCCCCTTTCCCCCACCCCCCCCCTTCCCACCCCCCCCCCACCCATTCCCTTCCCCCCCCCCCCCCCCCCGCCCCTCCCCCACCCCCCCCACCCTCCCTTTACCCCCCCCCCCCCCCCCCCCCTCCCACCAGGACTCCATCCCCGCATTTTTCCTTTTCCCCCCCCCCCCCCCCCCACCCCCCGCCCCCCCCCCGTTTTTTTTTTTCCCTCCCCTTCCCCCCCCCACTCCAGATGATGTTTTTTTCCCCCCCCCCCCCCCCCCCCCTTCCCCCCCAATTTTTCCCCCTTCCCCCCCCCCCCCGGGAGTTGTAATTTCGGCAGCTATATGTATAAGATTTAAGTAACGACACACACCCAATGGTGTGTGTACATGTAGAGTCCAAAGAGATTAATCTCGGTCAAAAAATGCTTGCGTGGTGTCCATCGAGGTGCCTGCCAAACGCCTCATGTTTTAAAAACACGTCACTACTGTCCTTAAGCACACAGGATGTACTGCATTGGTTGCAGTGGTAACTTAGGCAACCTTACCATTCAGAGGGAAATCTGTAAGTATTACTATTACTGGCTAGGCCGGCAAACTCTTGTCCACTAATGGTCAACGTCTGTCGGGCGACGGTAAAAAAACACCATTCAAAAGAAAAGGGTATAGGGTTTTATCGCAACTCTCCCGTCGCTGCTGTTGTTTGTTTAATCAACAGGCAACGAAAGCCCTAGAAAGAACCGGCGCTGACACGTATTTTGTTTTTATTCTCATTGCCTGTTCCAATCTCCGCGCACAACTCCACCCTCAGGAAGAGAAAGAACTCTTGTGCGCGATCATTCGTAATGAAAGCTTTTTGCATGCGCATGCCCATTTAATCGTTTTTCGCTCATGCGCGCGAGTGCGGCATGACCATGTCCATTTCTGTCTAAGAGATATTACTATCTGCATAAAGTGATCAGGAGGAAACAAGGCCTCGTGCTAGGTCTATCCGTGACAAGATGTGTTTGTGTCCTTGTGTCCTTCTCTAAAATATATCACCCGTTTTTCAGTTGGCGGCAAGCGATATTATTTATAAAGATGTTTAAAAGTACGACACACCCCAATGGTGGTGTGTACCTGTGAGAGGTCCCAAACTGATAAGCTCGGTCATAAAAATGCTTGCGTGTGTCCATCGAGGGGCCTTCAAAAACGCGGCATGTTTTAAACACGTCACTACTGTCTAGCACACAGGATGTCCTGCATTGGTTTGCAGTAGGTAACAGGCAACCTACCCTTCCAGAGTGAAATATTAGTTTACTGCCGGCACTTTGTCCCTAATGGTCACTTCCTTCTGGCGATCGGTAAAAAAACCGCCATTCACAAGAAAAAGATTAGGGTTGAAATTTTAGAATGTGCATATCTTGCTTGGCTCGGCTTAGTCTAGAGATACAATATAACCGTGACAACGATTGTGTTTGTCTTGTGTCTCTAGAAATCTATCACCACTCAGTTTCAAGTTGCGCAGCTATATGTATGGGTAGAAGCTGTGTAAGTACGCGACACACGCCCATGGTGTGTGTACATGTGAGAGTCCAAAGAGATTCTTCTCGGTCATAAAATGCTTGCGAAGTAGTGTGGGGCGGAACCAAGTACCCTTTATAGCGATGTGTCCTGTATTAATTAACCGTATGTTTGTGTGGTGTGTGTGTGTGTGTGTGTGGTGTTTGGTGTATGGATTTATTTTGGTTTGGTGTGTTGTGTGTGTTTTGTTGTGTTATGGTTTGTGTTGTGTAATTTGTTGAATTGTTGTTTTTTGTTGGTTGTGTTTTTTGTTTGCTCCTCTTTTGTAATGATTGTTTGTCTCGTTTCTATTATTTTATGTTTTTTCTTTTTGGTTGTTGGGTTATATTCATTTATAATTATGTTTTGATTTTGTGTTAGATTTGTGTTTATTTCTGGTGTTTTCTTTTTTCTCTATTGTTTGTATTTGTTTTAGTTTTTGAGGGTGTGCCATTTTTGAGGTTTCACTGCGTGTTGTAGTTGAACTACGTACTCCCCACTGGATCTGCCTCGAGGGGCCTTCACGACACTGCGTGTTTTTCAAACATGTCACTGCTGTCTTAGCACACAGGATGTCTGTGTATCCAAACACCGTCCTGTATGGTGCCAGTGGGTGGACATACTGTTCCATGTACAGACTGGGGTTTCAGCAGCAAGATGTTTAGTTCGGCCACACTTTGTTGCGGCTGTGATCAACCAAATTTGGGCAGCTGATTCCCCCCACCGAACACGTCGTGCGTGTACTTGGGTCTTCTTGTTACTCAATTCTCTTCCTTGTCCTGGCCAGCGGTCCCTTTTGGAAACTAAACAAAGTCATTCCAAGCATTCTTATGTTCTTTTACCATGGGATAGGGAATCGACCCTGTTACTATGATGTACAACAAACATGATAATTATTATGTCTGCACAGGACCCAATGCATAATGTATGGATGGCTATGCGTGGAGTATACGTACCATAGAGGGTGTCGGCGTTTGGCGTGCTCGGCAAGTGGGCAGACAGAACAACTGACGCGCATTCCATTTCAATGTTGCTGCCCCTCTCTAGTGGGTTGTAACTCCGTAAACAGTGTTTGGTTGATTGCCGCATGATCGGGGGGAATCTTCAAATCCTAATTTGAGCTTGGCTTTTGGTGTCTTGATATGCCTACAGATTACGGACTTCTGAATAGGTCTCTACATGTGTGTGTGTGTACTCAATGCTTAGAAGACCAGCTACGTATATGTATGTAGTCCATAGAATCAGTCTTGCTCCAGCAATTCATGCTACATCAGTGTGTGCATGTGTCCAGTGTGTACGTATGTACTTTGAACTCCAGCCGTCCTGCCGCGTCAGCTACTGCTGTGTACATTACTAGTCATGCGTGCATGTTTGTGTTATCCGCCTGCATGTGCGGTGCTGCAAACTACAGTTGCACACAAACTACAGTTTTTGGGGGGTGCAGCCCTAGAGTTTATAGTGAGCTAATTGTGGACATCCAATATCACACTGTTTCTCACGCAGCGCTTGCTGGAAGTGTGAGTACGATGAATTGTTTCTAGCTGCCGTATAGGCCTGTTTGCACCTGTTCACTGCATTCAGGTGAAGTTGCTTAATTTCAGCCCAGCTTCAAGGGAAACAAATTGTGTGACTACAACCCACACGTTATGGTACTTATACCACAGCTGTTACACCTGCAGTGGGACTTGTATGTGTATGTGTGAGTGTGTGTGTGTGTGTGTGTAAGTGTGACTGTGCAGTGGTCTGGCATTGATGGAGTCCCAAGAGACCTCCTCGACAGCCGACCTTTCATCTCTGGAGGTCACGCAAACCTCTTGACCTATGCAATTAGATTGGTGACCTTTCCACTCGGAGGTCAAAACCTGGTGTGACTTATTTTTACGTACACAACAGATTTAGGTCGCATTGGGTTTTTCGCACGTCATAACCGGTAGGGAAGGGAATGGAATAATAAGGTTTAAAATCCATTAAACTTTAAATTAGCTCTAGGTATGTATCATGTGTTGCTTTGCTAGCTTATGTTTCAGTATAATGCAACACATTATTGGCAACCGAGCGTGTGTGCGAAGTTTCAGCTGTTTCACATGCATTTAGTAACATTACAGAGTGCCGTTGAAATGAAAATTCAATTCAGACATCTAGGACGTACTCACTTTGCTCTGCAAACAACGATGCACTCAATGTATAGAGGTGACTGCAAGAAACGATACACTCTTGCACGCGCGAGGTGACTTTGTCTGTTGTCATGACGCCCACAACTATAGTTGACTGTTTTCCTGTGGGTGTGCATCACCCAGTCAACCATGCCAAGGTGGTGTGATGACTGCACCCTGTGTTACATCGCCACCGAAACCTCCTAACAACTGATAGTGCTGTGTGAAAATACGTTCCTCTAGTCATAATACCCACACCATTATCGCCGTTCATTTCCTTAAACGTTGTTGTTGGTGGCACGACCGTTTATGTACAAAGTGTGTCATGGGATGGCATGGATGGATGGATGGGAGTGTTGTTACATGGTTGTGTGTGTGTTTAATGTGGCCGAGTGAGCACAAAGAATGTTTTCATATGCTGGTGACCACACGGACAGTGACTCACAAAGAGATCTAGGGGAGGCAGGAAATAGAATAATCTTTCCCTAAAAGGAATTCAATTACTCTCCCAATCGCGATGCTCATTTCCCGGCCATCCCTTCCCCAGACACAATCCGGGGACCGTGGTAATACACGTACGTATACGTAACAAGTATAATAAGGTTGAGTTGATCTTGAGTTCATAATAATTACGATACAACAACACGTGGTATACAGTGGAACCTCGTTAATACGAACACTGTTAAAGCGAAATACCTGCTTAATACGAGCCACTTTGAAATCCCCAGGCATTATACGTAACACTATACAACTAGCTACTGTTTTAGTGAAATTCCTATTAATAATTTTTGATGGTCCCCTGGAGTTCATATTAACGAGGTCCGACTGTACGTAGCTCTTCTAGCCATAGATGTGTGCATAGAGCAAAACAGAAATACACTCAACACGGCATTTCGAGCTCATGTGCATGAGTCCTAGTCAGTTTGTAAGGCAGCAAGGAAGTGCCTAGACATTTCTTTAGTTAATCATCACGTAACTAGTGATCAGGTAGAGCCATGAGCCTACGTCACAGAAGCCCTCAGAGTGCGACGCGATGCGATGAAAGTGTCAGGAATTTTGTGAACATATTTTCCGTGACACGCAGCATGCTGTCACAGGTAACAGAAACCTTTCTGTCGGAGCTTCTTGCAACACATTGCGAACCACACGCCAAGTCTCAGGTGTATTACATCACCAGACCTAAACTCTGCGTGCCATGCCGTAACCAAGACTTCCACGACGCAATATGCTAAGGTCTGCACCACCCCAGTCCTTCTCCCCCCCCTTCCTCCCTACCTCCCCTCCTCTATCACTTGCTCTGTGCGGGGTCTGGGTTTCCTAGACTTGGGACTCTTAGTACGCAGTGTGCATGATATTGTGATTCCTTGATGTGGTGTTGATGACTACGTATCAGTGAACCTTGACCTGTGTACATTAGTGACTGCGGAGCGTAACAAGGTCACGCACGTGTGAAGGTTTAGTGAGAATTGATATGACGAAAACAGCACCAACATGTCTTCATTGGTCATACACACACACACACACTATATATAGTGAAGGCAACAGCAGCAAGCACATACGTAAATACGTACCACAGTTTAATGATAATTTATTGACAAAGGCATACTATTATGTGCAGGTACAGTCTACATGCCCCATGAGCCGCTGCTACTGCAGAGCCTCCGAAACCCGTTTGTTTTCCGCTGCGTCGACGGCGTGATGATTGACGGAAATCACAGGGGTCTCTCCCGATGGATATACAAGTAGGTGCTGCAGTAATTTTATAGATGCCAACGAACTTTTTGAGGATGTCCCACCCGTTAGTGAACCATATTTAGTGTCCAATGCTTGCTGGTTTTCCATGCAGAAAGGTTTTGCAGCTACGGGTAATTACTTTTCCAATTAATGTGTTTCCAGGAAGTGTGGATTGTATGTATGCACACGAACTCAGAAAATAACAGTAGCACAGGCATTAACAAAGCATATGGCTGCAAAAAAACCTGGACATTAGCCATTTTGAGGGATTCATTTCCTGAAAGGACTGGGTCAGTTGGCACCTTCTTACGTACATACTACGTAACGTTACAACATAAGTATTTGCCACGTTTAGTGTGTGTGTGTGATCTCTGAATCTCTGGGATTCTTTCAAAGGATGTTTGATACGTAGCACCAGGTGCGATGATTAGCGGTAGAGATAAACTAAACTGCCTACACTCATCGGTAAAGGGCAGGTCGTGTATATCGAGGTATCATTGTATATATACCGCTCAAAGACCACAAATATGTGGCGTATTAGAAGCGGCAATTTGCGACTGGCGTCTGGTATTCAGACCAGAATTGGATCAATACCCGAGTGAGATGGAGTACATGTGAGTGATGATTTACATTCACTGGTTTAAAGACATTTAGTGTCTTTTTGTCTTACCGCTAATTCCCTTTAGGTGAATTGGGTCTATAGGTCGCACATGTGGATTATCGGTGTCCTGATATTATCATTGGATTAGGTCCACTTACAGGTTGTAAAGGCCACTCCCTTGAGGCCAGCAGTTTGTGAATCCATTCAGCAGTATATCTGCATGCAGCTTCGATTTACTGCTAGATTGGATTAGCTATTTATAGGGTTTAGATGAACCAAGGTCACCAGTTTATATGAACTTTGTTGACCTTTGAATTCCTTTGGTTGCGGTGTAGCCTGTTCATCATGATTGCCACAACGCATTTAGTTGGCTGAACTTGAAAAACGCCTTCAATTGACCTTCGCGGATGATTGCTTTCATAACGTATTTTTTAGCATTCAAAGGTGTTATGGGGTCGTGAACTCTAAAGGTATGTCAGCTATGTCATCGAGCTCTGTCTTGGACAATAGCTTGTGTGTATTTATGTATGTATGTAGGTGTATGTAACTATGTGTGTGTGTGTGTGTCATATGTAGTTAAAGCTGGTGCAGTTAATGTAATTGCCTGACTCTCAAATTCACAGCCACTTGTTTGGTGCAAAACCATTAGCCACCCTGGTAGGACCAGAGGTACAGAGGATGATGTTGAAATGCAAAAACTCCGAGTGCCTAGTAGTAAGGACACACACATAGCCAATTACTGCAATTTGAACCACCGCACTGTGTGTTGGACTTGAGAAAGACACCAAGAACTGCAAGGACCCAATACAATAAGAATAGTCGGTGATGCCAGCCTTTAAACTGATTATACACAAATATGCATGTGCAGCTCCTTATAAGCAGCATGATAATGACTAAATTTGTGTAATTTAAGCACACATAACATTCTCGACAGTTGTTAACCAAACTATATTCTGGATGCCAAAGACCACTAAGTGAAACATTGTGTCTGTGTGCTCTACATACTGCGTCCCCCGTGCCTGACAGGCGGCATTCGTACATTTCTGACATTTGCTTACCTCCGAAAAGAGAATCACGATGCAACAAATGTGACTGATTGAATGAATCACATTGATGCGTGCACACATTCACTGTTAATATGGCTCCTTGTTTTCCTGTTGGGACACACGGAATTTTAAACTGCAGGTGCACATTAGTGTACTCACAACCCGCTCGTGCACTGCTAGTACGCTTAAAACCTTTGTACTGTGGGGATTTCGTGTGTATCAACAGAGAGGTGTGGACATGAATTAGTCTGCTGTTTCATCAGTGCGTGGGTGGTTGATTCAATAAGGCAGACCAGATGGAGCAAGCCCTTCTGTTACGTAGCAGTGTGTTGAGAAACATACTGGCTCCATTTGGTGGGTGTCAGAGTGTGCATATTATAATAATATGTTGAGAATTCACTTGGACAAGACTTGTAGCTCGGCATGCTACGTATATAGTCTCTCGTTTTACAGCATTTGTGTGGTGCTTTTGGTATACGTACAAAGCCAATCTGTCTATGGTGTATAGATTACAAGGTTGCTTGTGGCACATATATAATTATGCACAATTTAAATGTCCCACTTTAAATTGGGATAAAAATTATCCTAATAAGCAATTGTGCATAATTATAGGTGTATCATAAGCAAATATTTTATTATAACTATTGTGCAGGTCGTGTGCCTATCGAGACGTGGTGGGAGGAGGGGACATGTCATGTGATGTCACCTGGCTGACTGGTCTTCCGTCAAACCCTCTAGCAGTGGGACAGATGGTCAACAACCACACTCGAGGTCTGTGCAGTGTCACTTCCCGGCCATCAATACTAGCACAACTTCTCTTGGAAATATTCTGTTTGTTCGGTCGAGTTTCTGTTGCACGCTAAAGGTCTGTCCATCAAACATATACAGTGCAGACACTTCCAAACCATAATAAGTAGCAACTGAGAATTATAATGCAATGTAGTCAAACAAGTGGGGCAGGGGCAATAACAAAAGTCTCTGCTGATAGATGCTATTGTGAGAGATGGCCGTTTCTCTGCTGTGTTCTGTGACTTGTTTGCAAGAGGCAAACATAAAAACCTTTTACCGGTTCAGCTAATCAAGCAAAGGAGAGGCTCTCACCTCTTGCAACGTGTCAAATACTGATATCCAACAGCACCTGTGCAACTCTGCGATGTGTATTCCCATTATAAATGTTGGCTGGGAGCCCAGACTTAATAATGCAATTTCATAGAAGTGTTGGTGTCTCTAGTTACAGTTTATGCATAATGTGCTTCACAGACTCCAAGCTTAGATGGCTACTCATTTCATTATAGTGTCTGCCTCTGCCACCAGTTATGGCTGCAGACACTCTGCGACTTGTGTTTGGCCTAGCCTTCTGTCCGGCTACAACTTGAATAGTAGCACACACACACACACATTAAGTAACTGTACAATGTGTGATTATGTATCAGTGGGTTATGCAAGATGTACTGTGTGTGTGTGTGATTAAGTATTGGTATATATAAGCTGTGTAACTATGCATACCAAATTACTCATCTTCCATATGTAAATACTAGAGTCTGTGCAACTTTCACACTGATATCTCGACTTCTTTTTCAGCTTGAATGGCCTCAAGTATTAATTCTCTATAGCTACTGTACGTACCTTCATCCAGCACACAGCACGCATCGTTCAGCTTTAGTGTGCTGAGAGCGAGCAACTGTGTGTACATGAGTCCAGTATACGACAGCTGCAAGTACGTAGTCTTTACTCCTGATGCAGGTCATCGTAGTGTCAGTGCAGTAATTGCGATGATTTCGCCACAGCAACTAATTTACACATACCCCCAGTGAGAAAAAAATGCAACCACTGCTTGGGTTCATTGTCATGCAACCCTCCCTTGATGTGGCTTCCTTAACAATTTCCCCATTTCCCCATTCACCTCATTACACAATCATTACCTCACTCCTTTGGACGAGGCTACCTACCTACAAACTACTAGAGTTACAAAATTCAGTGGGACTGCTGTAATCATGGATAAAACCTCCACGAGTAGCAATGGATAACTTTCCCATATTCATACATAAATGACCAACCAGATTTCACAGACAATACTGTTAAAATGCAAAATTGTCTAAAATATTCTGCAAGTGTCATTTTGTCTTTGCTCTCCCTCTAGAGGTTCCCAGTAATGTTGAGTATGCGGAGGTGACCATACCTTATGACACGCTCCCACAGCATCTGTGGAGACTCCTCCCCAATGTCTACTACAGTGGCACGCTGCTAGGAGAAGAACAGTAAGTATGTATGCACTATCTGCATACCTACCAACCATCCAGCTTTTTGCTTGATAATTACTGCCTAGCCCACCAGAAAATCGCCAAATCCCTCTTTTTTGTGCAAACCTGTGATGCATCATGCCCATACATTTTGAATGGACACGCAGCATTTTCAAGCAAAAATACTCCAAATCAAGCAAATTTGACACATTTCTCAAGCAAAGGTTTATCTGCAGGTTTGTAGGTATGTATCTGTCAGCACCAATGTGAGAGAGTCAAGTGGTCTTGTTTTAGGGGTTAAATTGCATGTGTAAGTAACGAGGTACGTAGATAGATAGGCAAAGGCAAGTCGACTACATGCAAGAACTGTTGTAAGAAACTGCATGTAAGAACTGCTGTTGGGGGAAAAAAGATGTCCTCATTAATGAGGCATCCTCGCTCCACCTTTGTTCAGGGTAGGTTGGTACGTACGTAGATAAGGTTACCCACACTCAATAGGAGTTTGAGATTGGTGAAGTCTTAGGAAAGCTCTGTTTTGCAGCCTGTCGTGAGGAATTTCCATGTAAGGGCACAAACGTATCAGAGAAGCATCCCATGCTCACTGTGGGCAACGTCAAAACACTCGTCACGCACTCCACTATCTTGGAATTCTTGTAGAGCTATATAATTATGCTGTCATGGTGTTTTGGTCGCAAAAGGTAAGCGAGGTTTCGTGAGGTTTCAGTCACTGAGACTTTTGCCGACTTCACCGTTTGCGACCACAAGGAGAGAGAAATTGGGTGAGCAGCCCACCTTTATGGATTAACCAAAGGTGGCTGACACTGACACATGACATGGCAAACAGAAGTGCTGTGCAGTAACAAGCTTTTGGCAACCGCTTTTAACCGTCCATAGTACATGATGCAAATTATGCTATCTGTTTGGTCAAAATCAAGGGAAAATGCACACTGATAAAGGTGATTTTTAAATTTGGTTATCAGTTGTTCTATAGCAGGGATTTAATGGGGAGATCATATGGAAATGAGACGACGATACTTTGCCGTCATAATATTAATTACAGGTCAGGTGGTGGTGGGATAAATATGTACGTACCGGAAAAATTTGCACCTTAAACCACACGTAACTTTGCTCTGCATGCCAATTGCAATGGAAGTGGGGAGGTCATATAGGAACAAGATTATATCATGCATGTTATAGCCAACAGTATCTCTCCTATATATCATGCATGTTACAGCTAACAGTATCCCTCTCTGTCCAGGTCAGGAGGTGGGGGGATGAGGTGTGTTGTTCTGATGAGCACAACTGACATTGACCCTGGCACTGAACTCTTTTCCTCCTACCTCACTCTGGTACACACTGCCTCCTGACTCCCTCCTCCATATGCCACAAACGTACATAATATAGCTCATTGTGAATTCTATGGCGTTGCCTACTGGCCACTGTTTTAGTGCTTGTCGTCCTCCACTGAATGGTATACGTATCTTTCTCACGCTAGGTCCACAATATGGCGCATTGCCCCGTCGCGTCCTGCCGCGAAGATAGAAATGGAGTCTATCCTGGCGGGGCGGCAACGCGGCATGGCGCGACGGGTCAATGCGACATATGTATTGTGAACTTAGCCTCATGGTTCAAACAGCGGCAGTAAGATTAGAGAAGAGAAAATCATATGTACACGTGTGAGTAAGGTAAAGAATTTGCTGGGGGTTCATAGTATACTGGGACGACCTGGACTCCAATCCATGCAGTGATAACTTTCTTCAAGCACCAACAGAAGCACACTGTATCCTCAAAGGCCCTCTTTCGCTACGTATGTTTATGCCCGAAAAAGGTTATTGTATAGCATGAGCATAATACAGGAACTATAACATTGTGGCGTCATGTACATACAACACGGTACACCATCATTATTGGGAAGATGAGCAAGCCCCCCCCAATTACAGGATTGCATACCATAGTACATTCCATCGCATTGATTGCATCACATTATTGTGGTGATGTAATTTGCCAATTCACAACAGTGATTACTGGGTAGTCTTGACAACCACTCACAGAGTTACGAGAAAATATATTGTCACACATACTGCACGGCATTGCATAGGCAAGTGATGGCAATGGATAATGGCGGTCACCAACACCATGTCTCAAGTGAACATATAAAAAGTATGGGGGTGGGGGTCTTAAATCATGTAGTTCACCAAAAGAAGATTTTTGCCAGATAAAACATTGCAATAAAAATTTTTGACATTGAAAATAATATATAAATCTCTTCTTGAATAAAAGAATATGATTAGGAAAGAGAGAACTAGCGTTTTCCCGAGGGAGTTGTATATCGGTACTCTTGTAGCTCACTGGACTTCTTGAATGGACCACCAGTGGCAGCATCGACCTCTTGACCTCCACTGCTTCTCAGCAGCTGAAACACAAATAATAGAGTGTGAGCCTATAATAATTATACATACCACTCTGTATCATTACAGCCTGGACCATCTCCAACTTCAAACGCGTCGACATGGGGCCATTTGCCACTACTTCAGTTGTATTGCATTAAGAGAGACATACATAGTGTGAGCCTAAAATATACGTACCACTCTATGTAATTACACCCTAAATATTTTATTTTTAGCCCGGACTATCTCCAACTTTAAACATACCGACATTGCCTATTCTTTAGCATTGATGCCCCCCCCTGCAAGAATCGGAATTTCTCACTGTATGCTATGTACAAATGTCATTAAGGAGTTAATCTGAGGAGCTGACCTGATAGTCTCCATAGTCTTCCTCGTCATCGTCCACACTCCCCACATCCAAAATCACCGTCTGGGCCCCCGGACCAAACCCATACGGCAGGAATTTCCTTGCCTGCCGCAACACAAAACAACAGTTTTCTCTCTCCGGGGCAATATAGTTGTACACATGCCTGACAGAGGTCTTGAGAACTATGTACGTACGTATGGGTAGGAGAGTCCATGGAACTAATCCATAACCAATAGCAATAAGTTGTGCTGTGTGTCAGTTGTACATACGTACACACATTATGTGTGCTAGCGGCTACCATCCCTGGTGGTCACACTATATGCTTGAAGTCGAATAAGCTAGTAATTGCAGGGGGGATACTTACTCTGGCAGCAAATTGAGCCTTCCTCTCTTCAGACGTCTCCTCACTCCTAGAGGAGGAGGAGGAGGTGTGGTCTAGTAGACTGGAGAGGGGAGGAGGACGGCTTGTTTGAGAACTCTTTGCTACCTCTCTCACCTCCACCGCATAGCACGGCAGAACCTTGACAAACAGTGATAGCCTTTTAGGGCTGAGTGACATGTATAAACCAATGCACTACTAATTACGTGACGTACTATGCCGAAAAGCAGTGACAAAAGTTGTCAGGTTGTGCCGGTTGTTCATATGTTAGACTGAGCCACTTAGACAATTTATCATTACCCCATGCACCGTGAAAGAGAGTCACGCAAGAAGTGACAGTGCCACGATTGAACACTGACATTGAGCCCGGCCCAGCCTACTGAGTTGCCCTGGTACGTATATAGCTCAGTGGTAGAGCACTCGTGTAGATAGCAGAGTGCCGTGGGTTAAAGTTCCAAAGGGTAGCTATTTTTGTCTGAAAACCCGTGTAATCGTTTGATATGCACTTGCTTGGTGTTTACACCCGCGATTCAGATAATGAATTCTTCCTAGAGTTGTCCCCATTGAAGAAATGCCTGCAGTGTCCAAGTGATAATTATTAATAGTGATGATAATACAATGTTTACCACATACACACACACACTCTCACAGCCACCACACAAGAGACGAAAGTCTGCCTCATATTAATGTTCCCATGTGCCGGTCCATTCATAGCAAATGAGCTACCCCACCGCATGTCATCAATTGGAATACTGAACCACGCGGGCCACGCTTTGAGCAAGTTCGGCTCACAATATTCCTCACACTGCGCATTCTACATCGCGTTTCAAACAGCTGCACTGTTTTTGGGTATTGCTAGTAGAATGCCATTGGGATAGTGTTTTAGACCAACGGCATTAGCCATCCACCTGAATTAGAGTCCAGCCCATTCATAATCTAGTACGAAAGAGCATTTTTGGCGGGCAAGCGGGGGCAAGCTTAACAGACAGCACCAGCGTACCAATAGCGTTCACAGTGACTACTCGGAACGCTTTATGCGCGCCAGTAGTTAGACAAGAGTATTGAAAAAATCAAGGTAGTTAGCAAATATATCTTCATGTTGCAAGGCGCATGGTCGCACCCACCTATCTTTTGATGCAACAACGACCAGGTTGGCCTGCATGAATTCCTAGGTTTTTGATATTGCAATCCCACACACCGGCTTGTGGGTTTAAGGCTATTATAGGTTGTTGATGATTGTGTATTTAGCCTGCCTTTTCAACCTCACACCTTGAACCTAAGCTCGTAGTCGCATGTCACTTGTCAATAACAGTATATATTCTCTTATTTTTTTTTTCCCTTTCCCGAAAAGCTGTTGTTCCAAAGATTCGGGTTTTCCAGTGAGCTCTTTTTGTATTCTGTTGTCAGGGACAATTACACCTTTTCGTTTCTCATTAAATACTATTGTTTAACTACTGCATCAAATTCTATCGTGTGCTGTTGGTTTTGCGACTGTCTGAGACTTGCTCAAAAGTCGAGAGCGCCCTGTGAAGTTCCCTGTCTCTTTTTATTTAAATTTTGAGCCCATCCCTACGCAGTGCGTAATAAGTAGGTTTAGTGTACAAATATTGATATTTCACTTTGCAACCCGTCATGTTTCTATTGGAGAGTTGTGCCCCATGATCCACCATTGACCAGGGCTGGTCATAGGCTTTTCCCGACAGAAGCTATGTCTTCTACATGGCTATGATTACACTAGGTGCGTTGGCAAGGCCCCCCAAGTGTTGTTGGCTGTGCTTTTAGTATTTTTATAACCTGATGCCTTGAATGTTACCTTTGGTATCTTCTACATCTCCGTTAGTTCTAAACAGATTATTGTTCGGTTACACATATCGCTCTTCCCTTATCTTTTATTTCACCTCTGTCGATCTGATTATTGCACCAAGTCCCATTTGACTCGCTATTTTTTCTCTTCTCTTTTTCCCCCCTTTCGTCTTCATGCCACCCCCCATTTTGAAAATTTTCCCGTGCTCCGTTTGCTGATCCGCTTTTTGCCATTCCATATTACATGGTCTGCCCATTTTGAAGAAACACCCACTCTTCTACCTCACAACTTTAGGCATGATTACCTCATGAACTGGTGGGAGTATCCTGCTCGTGTGGTGTGGGTTCTTTTTCGTCCTTGGCGGACGCATCAAAGACTCCAAAGATACCGGACAATTACGATTTTTTTACATACCATTTTCCTCAGTTACTTAATACATTTCTTCCACAGTTCTGCATTTTTCTTATTGTGGTAGCCTAGTTGATAATTTGAACCGATAAGAGGTTGGTCCCGGCCCCTTTAATCTCTATTTGATATCCATGAATGGGTATTTGGTCTCATAGTTTTATATATGATATTCTATGTAGGCGGAATATGTATTGACTCCTATATTACCAATCAGTGTTAGATTACCATACGGATCTTCCCTGCCATACATTAGTTACCGAGCACATAGATATAGGTGTGTACTTACGAGCCGTGGATCTCACTCGCTATGTTAGAGCTATGTCAAGGTGCGGTTATGCTACTGTAGGCTATCTTAGAAGAATATCAATGTATGTATTGTAATGCTAGAGTAGAGATTATAATGTTAAGTATGCTTAATTGACACTCTAGTCTAGAGTTATCAATTGTTTTAGTAGCTATGCTATGAGCTAGGGCATTTTTCTTTAATTCAATGTATTTGTATGTTTATAC